GAGAGAGGATGAAAGAAGAAAGAAAAAAAGAAAGAGAGAGACAGAGACAGAAAGACAGAGACAGAGACAGAGAGAGAGAGAGAAACAGATGGATGTGTCATCCTGATTTATTTAAAATAATAAATTCATATGAATGTAACCATTGATATGATAGCAAGAAATGTATATTAATTATAAATACTTGCACAAGATATGGGTACCCAGTCGACATGCTGTTGAATCGAAAGATGGACTTGTTGTAAAATAAAATAAAAAAATGGGGCAGGGGGAAAAGGAACATCGGGAGGCCCAATCGTGGCCGTAAGTCAAGGACTACCCGGATTCCATTTAAAAGAAAGAAAGAAAAAGAAAGAAAGAAATCCCCAAAGAGAGGGAAGGAAACAAGAGGTGGGCCCACCGCTTGGGTTGAGCCTAAAGAAGAGCTGGCGATTTACGCCAGCATAAGCAACACGCCGAAGAACGGGGCTACAGGTAGTCCTCGACTTACAACACTTCACTTAGTGACTGTTCCAAGTTACAACAGACCTGAAAAAAAGTGGATTTTTTTGTTTTTGTTTTTGCTGCACGCTTTAGGACCCATTGCTGCATCCCCAGGGTTCACGTGATTTGCATTCGGATGCTTGGCAGCCGACTCACATTTATTTATGACCGTTGCAATGTCCTGTGTGTGTGTGTGTGTGTGTGTGTGTGAGAGAGAGAGAGAGAGAGAGAGACGGATGGATGTGTCATCCTGATTTATTTAAAGTAATAACAATGGGCTATGAGTTTGTGGGGGGTGGGGAATGTCTAATGAAGTAGGGAATAATTAAATAAATAAAGGACCTTATAAATAAGATACTGTCCCCACCTTAGAACAGCTGGCAGCCTCTTAATGTCTGTCCCTAATTGCATTTTGCTTATGGCAACATTAAAGCCACCTCCTTGTGGCCATTCAAATCTCATTCACTCTTTGCTCGATGAACTCAATGGGTAAAGCAATGCCTGGAGTTTCTCTGGAAAGGAAACTCATAATAAATGGGGCTGTGCTTCCAAATAATTGAGACTCTCAATGTGGCAAATATTTTTTGGTAGCTCGGGGTTGAACTTACGGGGGTCCTTGGTGGTCTTTTGAGCGTGGTGGCTTGCTTCCTGACGTCTCATGACCGAACTAGATAATGTCATCAATACGAGAAGGGAGTGATGTTTGCAGAGTGGAGAAAGAGGAGGAGGACTGTAGGGTCCTTGATGCAGTCTGAGCTCATTTGTTTTCTTGCAGACATATCATTACCCAGCAAGGTAACGTCATCAGCGCTAAAAGGGAGTTGAGGGTTGGTCTCTCAGAGCAAGTAGCTTGCTCTGTCTGTGTTAATGGGAGGGCAAGCCACTTGTATATAATTTTGCTCACGGGGCAAACTATATTTGGTATTTACATTTATATAGAAACAGCGAACCCTTCTACCTTCTAGCACTGATGACGCTACCTAGTTCGGTAATGAAACGTCTGCAAGAAAACCACCAAGCTCAGAGAGCACCAGGCACCCCAGAAACAGGAAAATGTTGGCTATGGAGGTGAATTGTTGGGCACTGACCAAATTGAGCATGTTCGCAGCGATACCGTTATTTCTGACTGTCGGCTCAGTATCCCGGAGCGTGGAAATTGGGGTAACAAAGTGGTTTGAGGCTTCTCATCTAATCCCCCCACCACAATCCAGAAGCTGGTTTTGCCTGCAGGTCTGTACAGATCCTCCAGGTGTATTTTCACCTCTGTGCTTCTTCGTTTTTTTTCTTTCGAAGGCGTTTCGCTTCTCATCCCAGAAGCTTCTTCAGCTCTGACTGAACGGTGGGGAAGAACAGAAGGGTTTATATTCCTTGCAGACAGAGCTGGTCGTTTGCATCCTTTTAGAGGGTCGTTGAGGCCACTTGAGAGGTTTATCTGTGTCCTCAGAGTCACCTGAAGAGGTGCAAATGGTTCCTGTAGCCTGCAAATTTATTTTCCCTCTGGAAATCCCTTCCTACTCCCGCCCCGTTCCAAGGGTGTTCATCCCAAATTGTGCGGCTAAATGTCGGCAGAGATTCTCAGTCCTCCAGGTCATTGTTGTCCCAAAAGCGCTTTTTTGCAGGAGGCGCAATTGGACTCCCTTGTTTTTTTTTCTTTCGAAGGCGTTTCGCTTCTCCTCCAGTTTCGCCTGCCTTTTGGTCGCAGGGTTCCTGTTCACTGGGCTGGCTGTTTGATTCCCCTCTTCCTCAGGTTCGAAAGACCCCTGCGCGGAAGTGGTCTGCAGCTTCGGCAGCACCTGCGTACGATCCACGGACGGGCAGTCGGCCAAATGTATCTGCATGTCCTTTTGTGGCGGCCTCCCCGAAAACACCGTGTGCGGCAGCGACGGCAAGGACTACCGCAGCGAGTGCCACCTGAACCGACACGCCTGCGACAAGCAGGAGAACATCTTCAAGAAGTTTGATGGGCCGTGCGGTAAGAGAGGGTCTTGGGGCAGGGGCTCTGGTTTCGGTGGTTTTCCCGCAGACCTTTCGTCACCCATCCGGGTAACGTGGTCAGTGTACGGGGGAGTGTCAAGTCTATTCATCATGGGACGCGGTGGCTCAGGGGCTTAGGACGCTGAGCTTGTCGATCAGAAAGGTCGGCAGTTTGGCGGTTCGAATCCCTAGCGCCCACGGAATGGAGTGAGCTCCCGTTGACTTGGGCCAGCTTCTGCCAACCTAGCAGTTCGAAAGAACGTTAAAAAAAAAATGCAAGAAGAAAAATAGGGACCCCTTTGGTGGGAAAGGAAGAGCGTTCCGTGCGCCTTCGAAGGCGGTTAGTCCTGCCGGCCACATGACCACGGAGACGTCTTCGGACAGCGCTGGCTCTTCCTTCCTTCCTCTTTCCTTCTTTCCTTCCTTCTGTCTGTCTTCCTTCTTTCTTTCCTTCCTCCCTCCCACCCTTTCTCCACCCTCCCTCCTCCTCTTCCCCTTCCTTCCTCCTTCCTTCCTTCCTTCCTTCCTTCCTTCCTTCCT